CGTCTGTCTTGCAGGCCTTTATCTTCTGGCCCCTGCAGCTGGGGTTGTAGAGCTCCAGGCAAAACTGGGGAGGGAGCCCCATGAGGGCAGGGCAGGAGACAGAGGAGAGGGCGGCTGCACTGGGAGGCTCAGAGAGGCCTGGACCCGTGGGCGGGACCAGCGCTGGGACCAGCAGCAGGACCCACACGGCCCCCAGCCTACTTCCTGTGAGAGGCACATGGGCAGGAGCTGCGACTCCCCACATGGACAACTTACCAGGTGCCAGCCTCCACCTAAACCCACTGAACCTACCGTATTCCCTAAAATCCCCAGTTGACAGAAACTGAGGCTCAGAAAGGAGCAAGGTCAGCCAGGTCAGAGGCAGGCTCTGAGAGACAATGAGACCAGGCCCTTTTGATGCCCAGGAGTAGGGCCAGGCAGTGCTGAGTGGCACGGAAGGGGCCACAGCACAGCAGGGTCCAGCCCAGCCACCTTCTCCTCCCACCCTGTTTGGAAACATCCCCACCCCCTTTCCCCCACCCCACCCCTGCCCAGCAGCAGCTTCTCAGGCCTCAGGCCGCCACCCTGACACCTACTGGCTTCTTGGGGTCATCCACCTTCTGCACTGAGAGGTTCTCCAGGGGTATGATTCCCCGTGGCTCCTTGTCCTACAGGGGAGCAGGAGGGGGAGGTCACAATCAGCAGGAGGAGCCTTGAGGTTGAAGGCAGGGAGTGAACTCGCGGGGCTCCCCATACCCGAAGAGGGGTGCACCCATCTTCCCAGACAGCCCAGCCCTGGATGGGGCAGGGGGGCAGCATGAGGAGAGCCCTGGCTGAGAGAAGACTCCACTTTAAGGTCCAGCTCTGCCTTGGACCTTGGCCCAGCCCCTCCTCCTCTTTGCAGCTGTTTTCCCATCTGTGAAATGGGTGTGCAGGTGGACTCAATGATCTCAAAGAGGCCCCAAGTTCTCTCAGTCCAGTGCTTACTGGGAGTCTGGAAGGGGGCTCGGGGTGGGGCAGGGTAAGGCTCAGGAGGCCCCTGCTCACCGTGGTGAACTCGAAGTAGTAGAGGCAGCTGTCAGTCAGGATGAACCAGCGCCGCTTCCATGTCTTCACGCGACCCCCTGCAAGAGGTCAGTAGCGCATCAACCCATGCTTCTCCTCCCTGGGCCACTGAAGGGCAGGGCCTCCGATGCTTTCCTCTGGCCCCACCTGAGCCCCCTACCGCATATCCTGCCACATTTCTCTTAGCTCTATCCCTTCCTCACTCAAATACCTTAGCAGCTCCCACCACCCCCAGGCTTCCCCTGAGCTGTTTGCTGCCCATTCTAGGCTACACCACTATCAGGCCCCAGGAATAGCGGCTGGCCATTCCTTGCACTTTCCTGCTGCCCTCTCCCCTCCTTTCATTCTTGGCCTGCTGCCTTCCTGCACTGTGCTAGG